CCACACTGCCTTGCACTCTCATAAACACTTGCTGAGCTGACTTCCCAGTGGTGGTAACTATCCCAGGGGAAATTTGTGTCTGCCCAAGATATTATGTAAGAATAAGCTACTCCTTTTAAACACTGACTAACCGATCACTCCTCTGGAAACCACTCTGAAGGTAGAGGCCTAATTCCAGCTGGGTCAGGGGAGTAGGTGGAGGTACAGATGGCGAACTTGCTTCAAGAGGGAAAATGTCATTGACATCACAACATCCTGGCTGGTGGAGGCTGGAGTGGACATTCAAAATACAAGTTACTCACTGGAGACACATTTTTAGACGGGTGCTAATGGAGGAAGAAGCCAGCACGAATGATGGAAGGTCAGACAGAAGTAAGGGGAAGCTTTGCTAAGATCCACCTTCTGGAGAAAAAGAAGGCAGTGGGAGCACCTGGGTCCCCCTTTGGGAGGGCAGCAGGGACCACTGGGCAGCCTCAGGGCCCTGGAGTTCTAGGGATTCTGGGAGCTTGGTCCTGACTTTGCCTGGCACTTCCTTCCACTTAGGAAGTGCAGGTAACAAAGGAAATAGGAGATCTAGAGTCCGGGTCCTCATGCTGGCCAGTTTGGAGGCAGGGAATTCTTTTTTTTTGTTTTGAGACAGAGTCTCGCTCTGTTGCCCAGCGTGGAGTGCAGTAGTGTGATCTCGGCTCACTGCAAGCTCCACCTGCTGGGTTCACACCATTCTCCTGCCTCAACCTCCCGAGAAGCTGGGAATACAAGCGACCCCCTCCCCCCCACCACACCCAGCTAATTTTTTTTTTTTTGTATTTTTAGTAGAGACAGGTTTTCACCATGTTAGCCAGGATGGTCTCCATCTCCTGATCTTGTGATCCTCCCACTTCGGTCTCCCAAAGTGCTGGGATTACAGGCGTGAGCCACTGCTCCTGGCCGGAGGCAGGGAATTCTCAGGGATAGTATGAGTGCCAAGCAGACAGGACAGTAGGCTGGGAGCAAATGCCTATGGGAACATAGTAGAGGCAGGAAGAAGGGCTGAGAGGTGTGTCTGTGAACTGGTCCTGAGATTGGTTTATCAGTCTGCAGGACTACGTGGTTCCTCTCACCATACAAGGGAAACGTCAACTCTTCACCATACAATCCAGGCCTGGAGAACTGAACATCCTTCCTTCCTGACCCATGAGGAAGTGTGAGAAGGAGGAAGTGAGGGGCTGGTGTGATACATGGGCTTCAGAATAAAAGCAGGCATGGGAAGCTCACCAGGATCCAAAGGGGCACCTGTCAGATATACAACACGATTTCTGAATAATCATTTGCAGAGAGTCAAAAGCACCAAGGAAACAAGAGGTTTAAACTCGCATGAAACAGTTTGCTGTACATGTGAACTCTTTTCTCTTTGGCTCTTTCTAGAATCCTCCTTTTCCCTACCTGGGCTGGAGCCTGCACGTGCTCTTGTTGTCCCACTAGCATGCCATGTGTCAGTCAGGGTTCTCCAGAATACAGAATCAACAGAATATGGATGGATAGACAGACAGACAAAGACAGATTTATTTTAAAGAACTGGTTCACACAGTTGTAGGGGCTTGCAAATCTGACTTCTGACTTTTACGGGGCATGCTGGCAAGCTGGAAATTGAGAAAAAAGCTGGTATTGCAACTCCCGTCCGAAGGCCACCAGGAGGCAGAATTCCTCCTTCATCAAGGGAAGTCAGCCTTTCTCTCCTAAGGTCTTCAACTGGTTGGATGAGGCCCATCCACATTGTGGAGAGTCAACTTCTTTACTTAAAGTCTACTGATTTAAACGTTAATCTCATCTAAAAAAATACCTTCGCAGTGACATCTACATCGAGGTTTGAGCAAACATCTGGGCACCATGGCCTAGCCAAGTTGATACATAAAATTAACCATCATATACTGTAACAAAATTTACTGTTTTTTATGTCTGATTTTTAAACAAGATTTCTGCCCTCAGCAAGTTCCAAGTCTTGCCAGGAAAACAGAGTCTAATGCAGCACATGGCCCCTTCAGTGGCCCAGTGAATGTCTGTTAAATTATCCAGTGACCCAATTCACCTGACAACATGAATGACCAACACTGTTAAATGTGCATGTAGAGGAACTCAGGAATGAGATTCAGAAAAGGCAGGAAGCTCTGTGGTGCCTCTATGTGCCTACGGTGAAGTCCGGATTGTGTGGAAAAGACAAATTAAAGTCGCAGAACGCGGCACAACTCAATACCATTCTGGTTAGTGAATTAACCCCAAATGTGTCATGTTTAGAAAGGCTTCTGTAAGAAGGTCCACATAAGCAAAAGAGAAGCAGAAATCATCAGAAAATACTCCCCACAGAAGAAGAGATTTTTCCCAGGAACAGAGTTGACCATTGAACATATTGGTCCACACAACTGTCTACCCCATCAAACGACGAGTTTCTGGTCAGTCGGGACCACATCTTACTCAACTTTGCTCCCCAAGCAGCGGGCACAAGGATAGTTAGTATATCAGACATTCCCAAGGGCACTTTTCTGTGCCCACCCAAACTATCCTCCTGCCCTTCTCTACTGGAAGAGCTCGTCTCCCAGCTACAGGCTGAAAATGGAAGACGATTCCCTCAGTAGCAAGCAGTGGTCATGTGACCAATTAGAGCCAACAAAACAAGGGTTGGCTGGGAGGTTTCCAGGAGGGAAGTCCTTCTCTAACAAAGTCGCACAAGTGAGGAGCAGTTGTGTGAAGATGTGATACACAGAACTCGGCAACCTCTAAACCATCAGATACGAAACCTGAGGAGAAAGTCTCATCCCACTGAGGAAGGTGGAGGGCGTGGATGAAAAGTGTCCAGACCTGTGGTGACATCAGACAGCCTCTGAGCTACTGCAGAGACCCCCTACCTATTGACCACTTGATTTGGGGACACTTTCAAAATATATCCAAAATCTGACTCTTTCTCACCACCCCCAGCACCACCACATGCCCCAGGCCACCACCTCCTCTCCCCACAGGGCTCCCTGCTGCTGCTGTGGCCACTCCCAGGCTGTTCTCCACAAGGCAGCCAAAGTGAACTTCTATGAACTTCTACAAACAGATCATGCAACTCCTCCCCCAGAACCCCCCAAGCCTTCTCTTCTCACTCCGTGAAATGACCAAAGCCTTTACCACATGGATGAAGTCCTCTAAGACCTGGGCCTTGCCCACTTCACTGACCTTACCTTGTACCACCCCCACTGCCTGGAGATCCCTCAAAGACACAGAGCACACTCCCTTCCGCAGAATGTGCACTTGAGGTTCCCTCTGCCTGGAACTTGCCTGTCTTCCTCCTTCATTTCCTTCAGGGCTCTGCTCACATGTCATCTTATTATCAAGGATGTCCCTGACACCCTATATGAGAGCACTGTCCTGCAGAACCGTCTATGATATGGAAATGCATGAGAGCACTGTCCTGCAGAACCGTCCATGATATGGAAATGCTCTATAACCTGAGCTTCCAATACAGTAGCCACTGGCTACACGTGGCTACTGAGCCTTTAAATGCAGCTAGTGTGCTGCGAACGGAATTGTTATCATTTTACTTAATGTTAATTAATTTAAATTTAAATATCCACATGTGGTTAATGGCCACCCTAATGATAGCTCAGCTCTACAAAACAGCAACTTCTCCCTGCCGCTCTCCTATAACTCCGTATTCCCCTTACCTTACTGTATTTTAACGTACTTATCATTATCTAATGTACCATAAAGGTATACGATTATCTGTTTCTCATCTCTCTCACTTTTTTAAATGTAAGCCCTAGGAGAAAAGACACTTGGGTCTGTTTTGGTTACTACTGATCAAGAGAGTCTAAAAGAGTGCCTGGTACAGGGTTTGCATTCAATTAGTATGCATGGATTGGATTAATAGAAGTAGGGAAGGAGGGAGGGAAGTTGTCTGGGTCTATCTAACTTCTTAAGTCACATGCCTCAGTTTAGCTCTATGAGTTTTAAATAGTCTAATCAAGAGTGTGGGTTGCTGAAACAGGAGGTCCCTGGTCAGCCTTCAGTTCAAATCCCAGTTCTGGGCCAGGCGCGGTGGCTCAAGCCTGTAATCCCAGCACTTTGGGAGGCCGAGACGGGCGGATCACGAGGTCAGAAGATCGAGACCATCCCGGCTAACACGGTGAAACTCTGTCTCTACTAAAAAATACAAAAACTAGCCGGGCTAGGTGGCGGGCACCTGTAGTCCCAGCTACTCAGGAGGCTGAGGCAGGAGAATGGCATAAACCCAGGAGGCGGAGCTTGCAGTGAGCTGAGATCACGCCACTGCACTCCAGCCTGGGTGACAGAGCGAGATTCCGTCTCAAAAAAAAAAAAACAAATCCCAGTTCTGATACTTCTGCCTGTGTGGCCAAGGGTAACCTGCTCCATCTTTCTGAGTTAGAGAGACTACGTTTTACATCTAAGCTTTTCCATCTGTCAAATGGAAATAACAGCTATGAAAAAACATAACAGAATATCTGGCATTCAATAGGTACTCAAAGCAATTATTGCCAAAAAAAATTCTGAGTATGTGGGAACAGACTGGGGCTTGATTGGGGGAGCATTTTTGTTTTCCAAAAACTCCTGCCATCTTCTCCTAGTCTTTTATACCCTTTCAAAAAAAAATAGTCAAAGATCACAAATATGAACTTTCCAAAACAACAAATGTCTATGTTGCTGGAAACAGCTGCCTTTGTGATGTTTATGGGCTTTTTTTCAACTTTCCTCATTTAGATTCTCAAGGAACGAATGGCATTGGCAATCTTGAAATAATTACCACTGTAATTCACCTAAACCAGGGCTGTTGTGGTAATTTAATTTTCAGAAAAAAATTACACCAGATCCAAAGGAAACTATTCAGACTTCCTTTCACATTTCAAATTTGTCAAGTCGAAATCTTACTGCCAAACAGAACATTCCCAGTGCCCAGCAACCAACACACAGACGCACAAATATACACACATACTGAAGCCCAGTGGTCTAGACATTTATATTCTTACCTTTCCAAAACTCCCTTTACCAATGGCCCGCAGAATCTGAAAATGGTCAAAGTTGACTGCAAAAGAAAAAAAAAAAAAGGAAACAAGTCAGATTTGCTAAACCTGGTATTGCTCCTTGAATATCCTTACCTATGTACCTACCCACCTATTCCAAAGGCTCCTGGGTCAGGTGCGCTATACTTGCCAGAGCAGCTGTCCACCCCTGAAGGGATCCACAAGGGAATTTGCAGCACATTCCATTTTTTCCCCAGCACACATATTGTCCATCTGAAGCCTTCCCTTCACACCACACTTCTTGATGGGGCTCTGCAGTCTTGCTGCTTCACTCTCCACCCCACTTCCGCCTCGCTTCTACATGCTTCCCTACACCGAGACAGGTCAACAATGCATGGCCTTGCCAGTAAATCCCATGGACATCCTCCCCTCCTTTGACTTGTCCACTCTCTCAATTATCCCTTTCATGCTTCACTTTCTTCTGCACACTCAGCCCTGTCCTCCCAGGCATTAAATACTAGAGTCTGTCAAGCCTGTGTCCTACAACCGTTCTCTTGTCATGGGCTCCAAAGGCTGCAATGACCATCTAATTGGCAGTGGCTCTCCAAGGTGTCTGTAGCCTTCACTGTACGTGTCAATGCCTGCCCACAGGTCCTCATGGAGGTTCCAAAGCCACCGTGAACTCAACAGATCCAAAGCAGAATGCAGGATGAGTAGTCTCAACATTCACGGGCACTATATGTGCAAAACCTGGGACTCATCCTTGACTCCTTTCTCCCCTTACCCCATGTCCGATCTTTCATTGGGTAGCTCCATGTTGTCTCTGCACAGTATCTCATACCTGTCCAGCCCTATGGCCACTTTTCTGGTCTAATCCACCATGTTCTGTCTCCTGGACCACTATGGTGGCCTCCCAGTACCCTCACCTGACTCTTCCACTCAGGGAAATGTGTGAGGAGCTGAGTGATCTTGCTTGTCCTCTGCTTCCTCCCCTCCAATGTCCCCTCCATTGCTCTCAGTGGAAAAAGGAAATCCTTCCCCAGGGCTGCAGGGCTTCAGCTGCTTCTCCTGCCTCCCCTCCCTGCTCACTCCCATCACCTACTGAATGCCAGACATGTGACAACAGCCACTCCCAGGCCTTGAGTGCTCTCCTCCTTGCCCTACCGTTGTTCTCTCTGCATCCCTAGAAGGCTGCCCTCACCCTCCAGACTAGGTCTGGCTCCCGACGATACACTTTCATGGCACTGTGGAACTTTCCCCAAAATACATCACTTTGTATAATTTTACCTTTGTATATTTCATTAAGTTCACTTTTCCCTACTAGACTCTAAGCTCCCTGAGTTCAAGGGCCATGTTTATTTTTTTCTATTGTACCCTTAGCACTCAGCACAGTGTTTAGTACACAGTTAGTGTTCAATAAATATTCATTAACAGAAGGAATGATTGAATGAACTAATCTCCATATTCATAGTGCCAAACACAACTCCTGGTACATAATAAGTGTTCGGTAAATATTTTTGAATTAGATTGAATTACAGCCAGTTTCCAATAACTAGAAAAGACATGTTATTTACAAAAAAAAAAAAAATGAAGTGAATTGATTAGTTCACCACATAATGGAAGCAAGGACGTGAGGAAGTAAATGAATACAATTAGTTCCTTGTATATTAAACTTATGCAATGGAGGATAATTATGTTGAGTTGTGTCCCTGCCAAGCCAAAGTCAGAATACAGCATGTGGTCGAATGCCTAACGTGCTTAGAATAGAGAGACGGAGTTAATGGTTAATTTACTAAAACCTTGGTTCTTTGACTTAGATTTATTTCCCTTCAGGATAACTTGCCAAGAAAGAGATTCCATATTTTCACCTCTTACTCATTTACCAAAGGTCAGAGAAGAGGAAAAAAAAGCAGTGAGCTTGCACTGCAGCTTGTTATGTAACCAGCAGCACGCTGGGAAATGCAGATGTCCTGTCGAGAAGCTCCTGAGGTCCCCACAGGGCAGGTACCACTGTCGGGTCCTCAAATCAGCAATGAGCATCACACGTTCCCCTGAAGGCACCATGCTGCAGCGCGCTGCCACATCTCCATGCGGCTGTTTCCCTTGCCTGCAAGACCATGAACCAACACCCCTTATTTTGGGGAAAACTTTTCATTGGCCTTTGACATGCAGCTCATGCGCTTGCTCTCTTGGGAAGCTTTTCCCCAACACCCAACTAACGATTTTTTTCCTTAGAGGTAACTCTGAACCTTCTGTAGACATCTAACAGTCTGGGAGAACATTCCCTGGAGTCAGACTGCTCAGGTCCACAACACAGCTCTACTCAGTGTGTCCTTACCTGTATCATCTAACCTCTGTGTGCCTCAGTTATCTCATTTGTAAAATAGGGAAAATGGGGCCTACCTTCCATAAAGAGCTCAGAATCATGCCTGGCATACCACAACCTTTCAAAAAGTGCTAGCTCTGTGTTAGCGGGTGAGGAGTAATCCCCGCCCTCTTTTCTGGTTTCTTGCAGTTGGGATATTGCCCCACACATCCGTGGCCTCTTCTCCCATCCAAGGTGGTGCAAGTTATCCGAGTGGTGAATTGGAAAAGGAATGGCACCAGCATATGGATGCTCACAGTGCCCTCTCCGTAGAGTCTGTCTGACTTTAGGGAGCGGCCTCTCTTCTGCTCCTTCTTGCCAGAAGCTTTTCAGGACCAGCTGCCATGTGGAGAGGTCTGTGGGGTCCAGATTCAGCACTGGCCAGGTGGGAAAGTCCAGCTAATTCTGGGCTTCAGCATTAGGGAGCGCATGATTACTGCTTCCCTTACGTTCCTTGGCTGCAGCTTTATTGCTGTAGAGGTGAGAGTTGGTTCTCTATCAACCTCCTCCTCTGTCTTGTCTCCTAACTGGAGGGAGGTGTTAATTACTGAGCAAATGGTCAAACGCCAAAGGCCATTATTACTTTAACAATTAGTGTGATAACATTGTAAATGTTCCCACTCACCCATGTCATCCATATCCCCTACAAAACTGTGGGCTCCTTTGGGGAAACTAACAATGTATGGGGCACAAAAGGCACTTAATGAATGCTTGTCTGCTTATTGGACTAGATTGGTTCTAGATGACTTTGAGCACACAGCCTGTGGTTCCTATTTATTTGGCATCTCCCTGGAGTGTACTACACTGATACTTACATAATAGTGTCTAAAAGACACTTTCAATAAGTGGAAAGTTAACACTTGGCTGATAAACAGATTAAAACGGCTTCAGTCAATGAAAATGCCAAGCCAATAATGGGTCCTAGAATCACACTGTCACGTGAGGTTGCCTGCTCAGAGTAGGAAGAATTGGCTGGGGGTGTGAGAGGGCTGAAGAATGGTTTCTTTGGGTGACCATCTTATCCTGGTTTCCTTGGAATCTTCCTGGTTTTAGCATGGGAAGTTCTGTATCCTTGAAAACTACCCAGTCTGGGGAAAACTAGTTTGGCACCCTTGGTTTCTTATCATGAACCCATTCCATCTGAGGAAGCCACAAGTACTGCTTGGGCTGGCAGAGTGACTGGACTCAAGGTGAAGTATATTCTTGAAAAGTGGTGTCTCACCACCAGACTCAGAGAGAGTTGCAAAGGGTGACACCACTAAAAGTGTACCACTAGGAAAGAAATGGGCAACACGTTGCTGCAAAGGCAAAGACAAGGAGTGTCAGTGTCCTTGCCAAAAACACAAGGACAGTGGCACCTGCCTTGCCAGGCATCATGAAGAAAATGGAACAACACATTAGGGGCATTATTTGCTCAGTCAGGCTCCATTCTCCCTTCTTTCTTGATAACAAAGCCTCAGCTCTCCTTAGGGATCACTGTGGCCAGCCCCAGGCAATGAATGTTAAGCTGCCCATCCCCAATAAAGTCATAATTGATCAAATCCAGTGGCGTTTTCAGAATCACCTGGAACCTTGTTAAGAGATCAGTGGATACCACCTCCTGAATTGAGCTCCTGAATTTCTAAGAAGGCATTAGAGAATCTGCATTTCTAAGAAGTTTCTAGGTGGCGCTGACGGTTCTGGGGCTGCACTTCGGGAACTTCCGATCTAATTAATCTGGACAATTGCGTTCCCCACTTTTCCAGCCCCTGTGCAGCCAGCAGTGACCTTGTGATCCAGATCTAATCAATGAGATCTAATCAATGAGATGGAGACATTTTTGGGAAAGTATTTTTTGTGTATGTGACGAAAGGGGCACATTGAGCTGGAGCGGCCCTTCCACCCTCCCGCTTCTTCCTGCCTTCAATGCGGACGTGATATCTGGAGCTGCAACAGCCATCTTGTGACTATAAAGCCAAAAACATGAACAAAAGACCAACACAGATGCAGGGAAGCCACTCCTCCTTGTGAGCCTCTGAACATGTGCCAGCAACCACTTACCTTGGGACTTAATATATTAGAAAAAAATAACAAAACAATTATATTTGTTCAGTGGGTCAGGCTGGCTACTATTAGAAGCCAGAAACATTCTTTTCTGATACTCAAAGCCAGGCACATAGCAGTGGCTTAGTAAATGCTATTTTATTGTTAAATTTCCAGGCTTACTGAGATTTTACTAAGAGGCCAAAGAACAAGAGTTATCTGGGACAACAACATAGGAGCCAGGCTGCCTGGATCTGAATTCTCACTCCAACACTCAGTGGCTGGGTGATGCTGGGGAAGCCACTTAGGCTCTCTGTGCATCAGCCTCCACACTTATATGATGGATATAATAAAACACCTACCTTATGGTGTTGTACATTGTGTGTTAACTAATACAGGTTAAACATTTAGAATAGTACCAAGCATGAACTAATGGCTACAAGTATTAGGTATTACTATGAATATTATTCCATATTAGTGGCTTTTCCTCATATTTCACCCTTGTGATACAACAGTTGTCTGATTAAATCATGACCAAATATTCCACGACTGATAAATCTAGAAGTATATTAGTGCCAATTAGTTATTGATCGTGATTGATCATGCTGGGTAACTCTGGTTGTCCTACTTTACATGCCAGTGGGCTCTTTTCTCATTTCCACTAGACCAGTTATTTCTAATGAATTTCATAGCACGCTTTCAACACTGCAATATTCATGAAGCTGTTTATTCAAACAGCCAAGAGTGAATTTTCAAGATGGCTAGCAATTCTTTCAAACAATCTCTAATGGAAAGTAAACCACAGTCCACATCCTGTACAAACACATGCATTCAAGCACTGTGTGTATCAAGCAAGAAAAGTAAGCAAACATCCCGTTCCTGCCCTCCTAAAAACCTGAAACCTGCAGCTCATTCCTTGCAGAATTGATGCTGGGCACAGGATTGCACATGGGTGGGTCATGCGTGTGTTTACTCTAGCTAGTCCATTGATTAAAATTGTTTTGAGTAAGTTACAGTATTTAAAAGTTATAAAATGTCACCCCAAAATTCTTGTTTCTGACATGTCTAAGTCTGTTTTGTGTTGCTATCACAGAATGCCACAGACCGGGTAATTTATTTTTTTTAATTATTTTTCACAGTTCTGGAGGCTAAAAAGTCCAAAATTAAGGTGCTGGTATCTGATGAAGGCCTTGTTTCTGCATCATCCCACAGGTGAAGGGCAGGAGAGTACAAGACAGCAAACAAGCAAGAGGGGGCTGAGCTTGCTTTTGTAACTCCACTCTCGTGATAACTAATCCACTCGCATGATAATGACAGCAGTCCCTTCATGAGGGAAGAGATTTCATGGCCTAATCACCTTTTGCTAGGCCCCTCCTCTCAACACTGTTTCACTGGAGATTTAGTTTCCAACACATAAACTTTGGGGAACACATTAAAACCCTCCATTCTCCTTTCTTTCTTGATAACAAAGCCTCAGCTCTCCTTAGGGATCACTGTGGCCAGCCCCAGGCAATGAATGTTAAGCTGCCCATCCCCAATAAAGTCAT